CTTATCTGCGAGTTATATGCACTTGTTATGGTTCTGAACTCTATAACTTGAAGTGAGGTTATCAAGGTATCAAAGGGGATGACTATGATCTGTCGATCACGTGTGTTCATAGATTGTTTAATGCTTTGCACGGGTGCTTTGTGAAAGGAGTACCTTAATTACGTTAATTTCATTTAGGATCCCATTGAAATGAGAGTGTAGGACAAAAGATGTTGTGCAAGTTGCTATTGCAAACACATACAACTACATACATAATACATGCTCACATATGATTGATAAATTGGGTCTAGTTTGTTGCTACTTTGTGTTACGACTATTAAATATATGATTCCATCCATGCAATGTCCATTACCCACTCCCATGCCTACACTTTTCATACTTCGCTCTCTTTACGTTACTTTTGTTCTTGGCAACTGCTGGGAACACTTTTGTTACTACTTCACAATCACAACTACATTCACTCCATCGCTTTTGCAACTAATAAATTCTATCGAGCAAGTATTATTTTTCAGTTGTGGTTGAATTGACAACCCAACTGTTAAGGCTCACAAGTATTCTTTGGCTATCCTTGTGTCGGATCAATACATTTAGGTTGTAATACTTCCCTCGAAGACTGTTGCGATCCCCTACACAAGTGGGTTATCATGCTAGTGCTGCAACCAGCAGGCGTTAGTGCTGGAACCAGTCGGCGGCATTGGTGGAACCTAGCATGGAAATGCTAGAACCGTTCGATGATAGTGTTGCGACTGGTGGCGAGGCATGTTGTGAGGGAGGCGACTGGATGCTACAATGGAAGTACATTTTTTAGGGACCACAAAGATGATTTTCTGGAACAATGCTACAACGAATTTTTATGCTTGTTACTAAAATTGTTGAAGAGATGAAATAGAACAAAGGTCTATCTTTTTTATCAAAGATTGAATCGATCATCAGAGGAAGAATTAGGCAAAAAATTAGGATACATTCTACGAAAATGAAACTTCCTTGAACAGAAGCAAATGAAACGTTTTCATAAAAATTCCCGTAGAATCGAGAATGAAGTTTTCATTATGTACACGCTAGATCATGGATTAGTAACTACATCTGGGGCTAA